TTACTCTGCAGGCGTTGTGCTTAAATTTTAAAAGTTACATTAAGTTTCATAGTAGTTCCTCTTAAGTTCTGTATTATATTATGCATCTACTTTTATATGTATACACGCGAAGTACTTTGTTCTTGGTTTTTTAACGCTTACAAAACGATTAAATACCTACATTTGTAGGCACATAATGGAACAAACTGTAATGCGACTTTAAACGATTAAAAGCTAACTTAAAATTATCGAAAATCATTGTTTAGTATAATGATCGATCGAAAGAAACATGATAAGGCTATATAAATTATTTGAGATGTCTACGAAGATATTGTGTACCTGCTTGCGTTTGTCGAACATAATTTTGGAATTGTTGTTAGATAATATATAAAATTTGAATGTCGTTACTTAAACAGAAAATATTTGGGAAAACTTATAAAACTAAAATTTTTAAACACGAAACTATAAAGTATTTTTATAGTCACCGTGAAAAAGGTAAATGTTTTTTTTTCAAGAAAACTAAATATGAAAAGAAACGTGTTTAAATAAACCTTTGTCTGAATTATTAAACAACTGTGAGTGCAGGTGGAAAACGTTTAGTTATTACTTATTCGTGAGTGAATACACAAAAAATATGGCAAGTTATTGTGATATATTTTAAGGAGTGTTTACTTGAAAGATGCATTTTGAGTTATTGTTTATGGAAAATTGAATGTTTTTTATAATGTATAATGACGATGTCTATTTAAAATTAAAGTTAACAATTTTTTTTTTTTTTTTTTAATTCTTAAGTTTTTATATATTAAAAAGGTTATGAAATTATCGTTACATCGTTGGTCATAATAAAAACAAATTTCAATATAGCCTTCTTATAGTTATTATTAAAAGACAGAGTTATGATATTTTCATATCCTAAATAACTTTGTTATGTTATAAAGAACTAATATTAGAAAATAAGCTGAATACTAATATCAATATATATTAGTTTCATAGTCAAGCGAATTTAACTGAACACATATTTCGACAAATTCATTGCAATACTAAAATTAAAATAAATTAATATTTAAATTTTATATGGATTGTCTAAGCTTTTTTACTTCTTTAAATTTTTAAAATAAAGTAAACATATAATTTTAGTTTGTGATTAACAGGGTTGTTTTTATATTTTTTATATAATCGTTATAATTAAATACCTATTTATTTATTTTTTTTATTGATCTTATTTAAGCCTAGCAACTAAGGCCATTAGCTGTGGATAGGAACAGTAGATTTTTTGTGTAGGGTTTGTTTGTTTAGTAGGGTTGGAACACTTGTGTGTGTGTGCACCATAGATTTGTCACTAAGAACCCGGGTGGTCACCCATCCAAAAGCTAGCGACGTCGGCTGATGCTTACTTCAGAACACATTAAAGACTAAGGCCAACCATCACTCTTCACCAGGCCCCTAAATTTATTTTATAATTACCCCTAGTGACTTAATTATTATAAAGTTTTTGTTTTAAATTAAAATTGTGTTACAATTTAATAATAATATTGACATTATAATTTATAGTGAAGTGTACAAATATAATGTTTGTCTACATATGAACCCCCAAGTTGATTCTTCAAAATATTTTAAAAGTAGAACTATATAGTTTAATTTTGTTGTGCATTCTTCAATTGTTAAGAATACATATTAAACACTTGATTTTTTTTGAAATTTTACTAACACAGGAATAATAAAAACCTATTTTAAGTTTTATAACAAAATTCTTATGTTAGCAATAATAACTATATATTGTATTTTATGTTTTGAACAATTTAACATTTTATAGTTAGCAAATTTTGGAATTTAATAATGTTGCATTATAGTCTTTCGGTTCCATTTAAATAATAAAGAAAATATCAAATGACAAAATAAGTCATGTTAACTAGTAATTTCAATACTTGATATTGTACATATAATTTTTTTTTGTACAATTAGCTAGTTCATGAAATTAATGACTATATTGTATCGTCGATGTTTATGAAACCATAACACGATAAGTGTAAACAAGTTTTTAATCAGTTTTTGAAATATCGGTAGAATCACAACACATGAATATTATCTATTTCGTTAAAAAATTGATTTTACTTAATAACTAAGGTGAATTCTTAATAAAAAATACAGATAAGCGTAATAATAATTTATACTAATTTCATATAAACTGTATGTGACAACAGTAATCGATTTTAACTTTATCATAATGCCACAAATCTACGTAATAACATAATTAATATATTTTTTTGTTTTAGACACGATTTGTTTTTTATTTCATTATTAGATTATGTATATCATCATGAAGTTTTGTCTGTTTTATGGCTGAACGCGGGTAAAGTAAAAACAATTTGACGGAGAAAATATATTATGAGCTCAGCATCCGAACGATTCGTTTGAACTTCCTCAAACGAAGGTGTAAGAATCATTAATATAAACATATATTCCGTTACCTACTATGATAAACCTATATCTGGGCGTCACAGAGGTCTGGGAAAAGTTAACTTAGCTTTTAATGAAATATTCAACTCCCTTATTTATGTATTCGCTTTACAAAATCCTTTGCGCCAAATGGATCATTGTAATAAACGTTTTCATTGAACGCGGTAAGTTTCAGTTTCATTATACATCATGATAAGTTTTACAAGTTCTGCAAAATCATCTGCCTCGAGGGACGTCATTTGCCTCAGTATATTAGGTTATTTGACATTACGAGTGGCGCGTAATCAAATGGATACAACGTCGTTAGTATTCATATAAATCTATACATTCCAAATTTTGTATACTTGGTTGGATATAATAATATAATCTATGTATACACACACGTTATTATTTTTATTTTTTCCTCGATCAAACAGGGTAGTTTATCTTAAATATAATTTATAGGATATTGTGAAGTCTCGCGTTATGTGGGCATAGTATGTTGGTTTAGTCGAATTTTGGTATGCAAGTCACATATAGTGAACTTTTATATCTCACGTTTGTACCTGGTATAGTAGAGAAGTTACGAGAATTAAACATAAATCTCATTTCACATAATATACACATTATAATATGCATTTATCTTCAAATAATTTTCAAAAGGTATTATAACAATTTAGACATTTTAGAAATTTCATTAAACTAAATAAAACTATACTAGATTTTTTTCTATTAATTATGATTTGAAAATAATAATTTTAATATTTTGGTATAAATTATTTATTGATAATGCGTCTGTATACAAACTAGTAAAAACTAATGTATGTATAATAAATGATAGAAATTAGAAATGGAGCTATAATGGTTTTAATAATTATTTTCCAGCGGAAAATAATCATGAGTTACTATAATAATGTTTTACCTATCTTTATATTTATATTATTAGTGTGAAACATTATTATTGTTTAGCAATAAAAATTAGAAATTTTTTTGACTTAAGCAAATAAAAAAAATAAAATAATATTTTAACTAATATACCACATATATAATATTATGTTGTATTAAAAATTCGTTATAATTTTCTATTAAATTGTTTTTATTTGTCAGTTTGACGACCATAATGTTATGGAAATATTAATGTTTATATTTTCAATCAGCTGTGGAGATTCCAAGGATTTCCAATACTATGTCAAACATATTATGTAATAAATATTGATTATTGAACACATAATGATATGGAACGATTTTTTTTAATTTGTCAGTGATTTATTCATTATTATTAGATATTAAATAAACAGTGAAAACGGTGTTGCAAAATTGTCCAATAACTGCAAAAAACTAATTATTTTATTAAATTGAGTCTTTTTCAAAGTTTTGTTTAATTATATTTACATATTTTAACAATAGTGTTGAGTCAAAAAAATAATATATAATAAATCAAAGCGCTTATAATTATCATAGATTATTATTTACGTTTATACGTAAAATATGATCTCATGTAAATAAAACATTTTTTTTTATTTGAAAATGAATTTACAAATTTATTTATAGAACTACATAAAGTACATGATAACAACTTAAGAAAAATATTTTAGTAATTTTAACTCAATTTAACATTTATTTGCTGATTGTTGTATATTTTAAAATTAGTACTTTGCGAATCCTTCAATATTTTAGTGTCATTCATTTTCGTCCTTTGTGAAACCAAATTAAATTCTTAGAATGGTTTTCAAATATTTTTATATATTAATCATTTATAATATTATTAAACCTATTATAAGAGTAATTATGTTTATGTAAGTCTAATAGACAGCTAAAAACTATTGTTAAGAGTTTATATTTACAATTTGTATTATTATTGTAATACTATATATTGATATACTTAAATCACCGTAATTTTTAACTCGAAATTTAAAAGAATATTTTTTGATTTATTAAACTTTATATATTATGAACTAAAAATAGTTCATTAGGTTTGAAATATATGATATATATGGTGTATAAAAATTAGAATAGAACTATTATTTAGTTTATTACCTTTTGTACTTCCACAATATTTTTATAAATTACAAAAGTTATAATATTATATACAATATACATACATATATATATATATATATATATATATATATTATTAAAATAATTTATTATTATAATCGATATAGATAATTCATAAATATTGTAAGTCTACGATACTTGATACGTGAAAACTGTTTAAAGAGCATAAAAATAATTCATTTATTACCGAGTTGTATAAACTAAAATAAAATAAAATGAATTTATTATGAGCTAATAGTCTCTCGAATACGATTTAGTGATCCATGGTTGGCTTATTAAAGTTTAATGAACCGTTAAATGAATCAATTTTTTTCATGCGACATGGCGTAAATGCTTGAAACTACAGTCCCAACTTAAAATTTTCAAAAATCAGAACTAGAATAAATGCACGATTAAAGAGTACAAGGAACAGATAGTGATTGGCGAGTCATCTTATAGTACGTATTATTACTACGATAGCGCGATACGTATGAATACACGTAAAATAATGTAATATCGTTTCTAACACGAAACAAGTTAAAACTTACCAGATGTAACGATGTCGGTGGTAGTGGTGGTGACGGCGACGTACAGGCCGTTGTACCACAACGATTTATTACTATGTATACGTCGTGTGTCTTCGATTGTGTCGCCAACCGACCGACTAATCGCGCAGTCCAGTCGCATCGGGCTAACGGCGCGATATTATTGTTAATTTATTATTATATTAACACAACACCACTCGGCTAGAAAAGAAACCCCGCCTAAACGCGAGTTTCGCCGCCTTACGGGACTTCCTCTCGACCGACCATCCCCCACGTCACTTCCGTTAGCGATCGACCTCTCCCGCCAGGATTCGGTTAATGCTGCCCAAGGACGACGCCACTGTCAAATGTGTTGATGTGAAATGTGGGTATTGTTGACAATCCTTATTAAGATGCTTCTCACAAATGCGCGTTAATCAGTCGTCGAATTGATAGACGTACCTACCTTTAATTACAGTATCATAATATTATTATACTATTCGTTAGTTAGATATTAAAGTGAAAATTGTCTAATGCGGGATAGCATGGAACCAATCAAAAATTCCGCTTTAAGCAGCTTTCCGCTTTATTGAATAAAACGAAAAAATTCCGGATTATAAATTCATACAAGTTTTTTACATTAAAAAATTAGTTTACAACATTTATAATTTTTATTTTTTAAGTCAGAGACTAATTTTAAACTTAATTTATTACTTTACTTTATATAGCTTATTTTAGATTAATTATAGACTTATTTTCTTACAAAACTATTAACAATTATACATATCACATAAGTATAAAGATTGAGAATTAAATTTAAACATTTAGCTTTTCCAAAAATCATGTAAAAATTTTTTTTATCATTGTTATTGCTATTTTTCCAGTATTATATGTATTTTTATGAACATCACTTAGTATGTAAAAGCAAACTGTTCAGTGTAAGACTGTTGATGCATAACTATTTCACAGCTATACATTATACATTTGGGATAAGTTTGTATTGCAGATATGATAACCAAAAAATACAAATTACCTAACTAATATATTATGTAGTGCAGTTTTATCTTAATTATCGTTTTACGATATACCTATATATTCATATCAACGTAACATGACGCGTGTCATATTTCCGGCCTATACAAGACTTACAAAACCGTTCCATTTCCGCGTTAGGAAGGTTCCGTTTTATTGAGGTTATTGAAGTCTACATAAAACTATAGGAACATGCCGGCACCATAGAAAAATTCCGTATTGGATAGTTTTCTGTTTTTTTTTCAGGGTCCGCATTACACAGTTTTCACTATATAAAACAATGGGTTTGTTCAACGATTTTAATTAATAAAGATATTGTAATACGCTTATTTTCATAGTCATTTTATGTTTTTTTTTTTTTTTTAATTTTGAAAATCAATTTTTATTTTCATAATTTTTTGAAATGTTGTAATTCACATACACTTCATTAAACTGTTAACGATGTGTAGATACAGTGCATATTTTTGTATGTATGAATTTTATTGGGCTTATTTTTTCTCTATCTATGCTATTTATTATTTTTAGAAGTAGAGCGAGTGGAATGAGACACATATTATCAGCATTACAATAATTGTTTTAATCCATTCATATTTTTAATTAACTTTCTAACGTATATGCTTTAAAAAACTGATAATTAATAGCTAATAGGCGATAATCTATCCTTTAGTATTCTAAAATAATATCAACAATGTATAAAAATAAATTAAAAACAATAGTGCAAGTATTTAAAGATCCTCTAAAGTAATTAAGTTTTGAATAATTGGATTTTTCCTTTAAAAAAAAAAAAACTGGTATCACATACCGCGATACATGAATATTAAAAAGTTCGAATTATTAACTGAGTGATTTTTTTATCGAACATCATTCATAACACATATTATTTTTAAGTCTATTAGTGTTTTTAAAAATATTGTTTTTACATAATTTCCAGACGAAATAAAAGAAAATACATATACATATACATTTTTTAATATATTTTATTGTTATAACTTTTAATGTTTTAATGTTTTTAAATGACAACATATTTTAAAGCAGAATATTTTGATGTATAAAAATAGAAATTCGGACGAGTAGCTTATAAATTAAAAGTATTTAATGTTTGGTGAGCGAAGTGGTATGGTACAAAGAAACCCCACAAAATTTTAGTCTATTACTCCGCCTATCAAAACTTTTAAGTTTAAATATTTATATTTCATAAAATTAATCGTTTGAATTTTGATTTTTATGTATTTAAATATATACTCCAAAAAATATTCTGCTCCAGAATATGAAATTAAAAAACATGTCGTATTTGAAAAAAGTGAAAAAATTAAAAAAATCAAATCAATTTTTTTAAAATCTTTTATTTTGACTGAAAATCATGAAAATAATATTTCAAAAAATGTTGATATATTTTAAAATTATGAGTGTTGTACGATGAAAGAATCACTTTACATATAAAATAAATAATAGAAAACAAGACGTGAAGTAACTGATAATGTTTTTCATTAAAATAATCCTAAATCCTAAATCAATATAATACGTATTTTATTTAATAACTAGATACCTAAAATATGTTTTTGCGAGAATATTTAAAAACGTTTTTTTCATTTTACGTATCTTTATATTAAAGTATTAATATTATCATTTTCATACTCTGATTCTTTTCTTAAATATATTACTATAGCAGCCCTTAACGGAAACAATTTTTTTATTTATTTTCTTTAGGGAAGTTTTTTGACATTTTGATATTTATAACCCACTAAGATTATATACACCATGCGTATAGTAATCAGGAGTTCCTTGTTATTTTCAACGGTTTTAAAATCTGGTACTTTTTCTTTCATTTTTCTTGCTTCTTTCTATAATGTTGCCCTTAACTATGTATTCTTCTCTTACAAAATCATTTTTTTTTCTAACTGCATTAGTCTTTGCCGATTTGGTGTAAAATTTATAACGTATAATAACATTAGGAAATATATTAAAATATATTTTCAATATTATACATTTGACATAATGTTATTGTAATTATTTATTAATTGGTTGCCAAAATAGTTAAAAAAAAAATGTATTAAGCATAGTGTGTATTTTGAATTTTTGAATTTATTATGTCGATTTAAAATAAATATGCACAGAATTATATATTATTAGAATAATTAATATTTTTGGAACTTTTTATTATATATATATATATATCTATTATATTATTCAGGTTTTATAATTTCAATGGCATAATTCAAAATTTTTAAATAATCTAACGTTTATGAACAATATTATTTATAGTAAAATGGATGTATTATTGCGAATTTAAAAGTTGAACTATCCATTTTATTATGTTGCAGTGTAATAAATAGTCGTCAGATACCTACGATTATAGCGCGTCTCTAAAAACGGTTGGATAAATAAAATCATCATGGAAATTACGGAAATAGCGGTGGCGCCAGAATTTTAACATTTGTAGTAGTAGTAGTACTAGTAGTGGTACTATGACGTCGATTAAGAGTTGCGCGGGGATATAATATTTATTATATTGTCTGGATTAAAAGAATATGCTGAAAAATAAATACCGAATTGTAGCGTTAAAATGTTCTACCAATACCGCATAAAATCTGAAGTTATTGAAGGTTAAAAAAAAAACAGTATTTTTAATGAAATAAACGAATCATTTTAAGTTGAAAGTATAATATATTTAAGTAATTATGAAACCTAATCATTGACGAATTAAATAGGTACAATTCAGTTATGTTAAATTAAGTTATATAACGAATTAATATTATTTTTTTAAAGGTAACATTTAACTTAAAAATTTAATTTTTTTTTATGATGCTTAATTGTTAATCAGTTAATTTATTTTATAATCAAGATCATTCTATTTATTTTTAATAAAAACCTCATTTATTTAAATATATTTTTAATCATTAACATTTTTACTAAAGAAAAAAAGTAATTAAATATAATAATGCATTTTAAATACTCACTATATATTTAGAGATAAAAATACCGTATATAAATACATTTTCATTGAAAATTATAATTTCACCTAAAAGAATTTATTTTAAATCTTTCAACAGTAATAAGTTGATAATAATTAATGACTAATTAATTATGTTGATACAAAACTATGGTGTCACATTGCTTAATAATAAATTGCTCGTATAATCTTGATTTATTTGAAGAAATCATAATAAAAAGATAAAGCCATTAGGCAACTTAAAAGTAAATATATATTGAAAAGATTGGACTTTAAAAATAAAGAGTATTATCTTTGTACTTTTTAAAGTTTATCAGTACAATATCATCGGTATTATCGTCAATGTATATACTAATATAACAATACTAATGATACCATATGAGACGCGGAAACGGATCTATGGATACGATTTTTTAATTTCTCTAACCAGTTAGACAGATCGTTAAGCAGTCAATGCAAAGGTTTGTCATCCTTGTACTTTTACGGATGAGTTGATCTGGTTTTTTTGATTTTCGTTCATGTCACACTTATCGATTTCGATGTATTATCATCGGACGTCAGCTCACGCTCATGAAGTTGGCCCACATAATCCGTTCAAAATTTATGACAAAAATGTGTTAGTAATTTACTAGAATTAGTAAATCCATTTCTAGAATTTGCTTTTCATTACTTTCCTCTCTTATTTTCAAAAATGGTCCAACTTCAGATAGCTCACCCACCTTACTCAAAGCAATTAAAAATAATATTAAAATTTCTATCTTGATTCGCTAAAATTTGCGAGTCCATCTTTGAAATTTTATTGAAGTTAATAAATAGTTATTAGTTAAATTTTTAAACATGATTTAATATAGATATAACTGTACCAAATAACGTAATGGTTTAATTTAAAAAAAATATCTACAATTATGATTTATAACAAAATATATTATGTCCGAGTATCATTATGACTTAAAAATGTTATAACCACAAATCTACCTAAAAATTAAAATCAAAAATAGATAAACTTAATGAAAAAAAAAAATGTTGGGCCAAAAAAATGAACATTTTCGGATTTGTGTTCATTTTTTTTCACAAAAAATGTATTGTTTTACTAAAAAATAAACGC